GTGTTATCCTTATTTGTAGTTATGGCCTGTAAGTGACTGATAAACAGCAGAAGGGAGACATTTTGAGTATTTTCTTTGATGATGAGTGCCTCTAACCAGTTCATGTACTTTAAGAAATGAACATCCGCATTTATAGTGCATGGCACATTATTCTGCAGCTCTAGATTCCGTTTACTCAGCATATGACTGCCAAGGTTCCTGCTGACAGGCCCACAGTAAGAGACTCGAGTGATTCTGTTTTTCAAAGAAGACTGTAAGACACAATTTGTTTAAATTGTGGCTGGATCACAGATAGTAACCATGTAACTAGTGAAAATTTGTAGATAGTGGTCTGGTCTCAGAAGCTTTATATTACCACAGACATTCACTGTAGTGGCCACATCTCAAATATCTGAACTCCTGCATGCAGCTGACTCATGGATCCACTGAGCCTAAAGCTGTCCACTCAGTTCCACCTCATATCAACACTGAGGAGCATGGTGCTGTACATTTCTCGGCTTGTATGCGTTCGTGGTGAGATGCATTACCATTACCTTTCATACAACTTGTAGCTATAAATTAACTTGATTTTGTATCTACATTCATGAATTATACTTCTGTATTTCATAGTCATCACCTCAAAAAAAAAATTAATGTGGCCATCTTCCCTACAGGGTGCCCATATACAGATCACGCCTTGGCACATGTGCTTTGACCTTGAAGGTGGGGACAGCATGTTCCCCTGAAACATTGTCCTCCTACAAGACTGCACCATATCAAAATCATAAGAACCACAGTCAGAAGTTGAGAACTGTGCTCTTGTCCACTAGACTTTCAAATGTTCCGTGCTATCTTTTGGTAAGACGCTTTATCTGAACTTTGCAGAGAAAGGTGCAGATCGGCTCAGCGATGAGAGTTCCAAGAAAGCTGACTCAGATTCACATCCTGAAAACTGGACGGATCATGAATACAGCGACCCACAGCAGCCTGCTGCGTCCTCTCCTCCTAAGAGTTCGGAAGATAAGAACAGGGTGAGGTACACCAGTCAGTGGACAAGATCGAAAAGTCTGTGATGGTGGCATGCTAATGCAGTGATTGGCTTTTTGGACTTCATTCAGTATCCTGTTTTTATTTTAAAAATGTGTGTCATGTCAATGTTTGCCCAGGCAACCACTTCAAACTACAACCACAAATGTCCATCGCCCTTAAAACATGTATTACAGACAAGATGAGAGCATGTCTCAAGAGTACCGGCGGTGGCTCCTTTCGTAGCAGCCAGTTCGGCCCGGCAGTGACGGTGAAAATTGCAGGCCCTGGAAAGGGCCGTTTATTCAACCGCATCTTCTTTACGGCCGCTCGGTGGTTATGAACCGGTGGGATAGCGGCAAGTTTGGCTGGCTAGTCCAGGTCTTCTTTACGGCCACTCAACGGTTATGAACCAGCAAGATAGTGGTGAGTCTGGCTAGCTAGGCGCTATGATGCGCACGCTGGTAGAGTCGGCTGTCTTGGTGCTGTTTACTGGAGAGCTGGAGCTGTGTTGTTGCTTGCGCTTGCAGTGAAGCGCGTGACTGATGAAGACTTGTGCAAGACTGACTAGCCAGTTGGAGGCCCACACTTTTATACCATTACCACTGGGTAGAGCTGCGATTATGAGTGCTGATTGGACAGCGCTTGTGTTGATCTCCAGAGGGCCAGACTGCAAGCGATGTATAAATATTGCATCGTCCTGTTACAAGGTGGGAGTTGTCTGTTGTATGTTAGACTTGTGAAGCTGTATGTTAGAATGTGGGAGGTTCCCACTAACGTTTTGGAGACTGGATTCTATCTCTGTCCACAGGTAAAAGCCTACTCAGGCTGAATTGACAGAGCTGTGCCCTTCTTGAGAAGCCACTAGTTGCGCATCTGCCCAAGAACTTCCCAACATTTTATGGAACCCAAAGGTTCATTACCATGATAACTGGTCCATATCCTGAGCCATATCAATCAAGTCCATACCACCCCATCCTATCTCTCTAAGATCCATTTTAATATTATTCACCCACCTATGACTTGGTCTTTTTAATGGTCTCTTTCCTTCTTACTTTCCCACCAATATCATATATGCATTCCTCTTCTTCCCACATTCATGCTACATGCCATGCCCACCTCATCCTTGACTTGATCATTGTTATTATACTTAGAGAAGAGTACAAGTTATGAAGCTCCACATTATGCAGTTTTATCCAGCCTAATATCACTTCATCTCTCCTGTGTCCAGATGTTCTCCACAACACCCTGTTCTCAAATACCCTCAGTGGAGATTGGTACTAACTCTGTTAATTGGGTGCAACTGGGTAGGCGTTTACCTGAGACTGGAGACAGCTCAGTCTCTGAAATGTTGTTTTAAATAAAAACAGGACAGTGGATAATACCCAAAAAGCCTAACGATGTTCACCATGAGACAGTTTTGTCTCACAGAGTAGAGAACACTAGTATACTCTGCAGTATGTATACCCATATATATGGTCAGACAAGTGAAGTTCATTGTAGGTTCAAACTACGAGTATATCACAGGTGGCTCTTTATAGAGATGCTTTCAGTTGCTTAGACTTTGTAACTTTGATTGGTATGTGATTATTGAACACTCATTTCAAAGGAAGGAAGGAGGGAAGCAGTGGCAGCCTATTTTAAAGTACTGCATTGGCATGTGCCTGGAGGGACTAAGTAATACCACAAAGAACTTGAGTTGTTATATCTGATCTCTCGAATATGAAGCAAGAGTGATAGCCAGTCAGCTCTGCAGGTGACTGTTCAGCAGTGGCACCAAGTGCTGTCACATGGTCAGCATTAAACCTCTCAGTTTCAGTCTTCAGAGCTGGTAACAGTCATTTCCTTTCATAGCCTACACACCTAATGTAATACAAATTAAGGATTTCAATCATCTGTTTAATTCTAGCGACATTCTGCTGTTCCTTTAAAAACGGAAGATCAAGGACAGCAAAATTATACTTTACACAAAGAAGCAAGAGATTTAGTTGTGAAGATGTGCATTTATTTCAAGCAAGTGGTGTAGAATGCTACCAAGCTGTAAGAACATGTAGGGTAATCAGTTTCAAACCTAAGATCTCAAAACTCTGTAGACCACTTCCTCTCTCTAGTTCAACATGCCATCACTCCCCCACCATCAGACTTGAATCCTGCTGTAGCTGGCTAGAGGTCTGTTCACAGGCGTGTCAGCTCCCCTACGTATGTATGTAGCTACATCATGCTTTGTTATTGCTCTATGGGTGGTGATGTTTGTCATTTAGATCCTATCACAGCAGTTTACAGGGTGTGGGGTAAGCTTAGTACATCTCATAAGGAGGAATTACCTGGTGAATACAGGTGATGTTGCATTCTTATGTTGCAAAACTGAAGAGTTCAACAGACTGGTAGCTTTGGCAGGGGGTGAGAAACATATGTAGCATTTTGTCAGAGAAAGTGGATGATAACACGAACCTTTATCGTCCATGTATGGCACCACTTTGTCAGCACATGTGGCTCAGCAGAAGTCGTCCTACCACACTGCGTAAAAATGGAAGGAAACGAAGACAAAGTGATCCCTGTAACAGGTCGTGAAGGCCCATAGGGCTGTGAGACGCTGAGGCTCCCACATTTTCTCTAGACAGTCGGCTCACAGATGGCAGTAAGGTCGTCAGCCTTACGTGCCGGCCGCCCTTTTCCCCCAGGAAGATTCCTGGTACTCATTTCTGTTAGAGGCTGAGTCGACCCAAGGGCCATACAACTGAGGAGTTAGGTAAACTGAAAACATCCACATCATCGGGACTCAAACCTGCAACCTTCCAACTTGTAGCGAAGTGTCTCAACCAACTATGCTATCGCCTACCCCAGGCTGCATACAATGTAAATCCCATTACTGCCACATAAGAGTCCAGCTGCCATCACTGTAATAGTGGGAGATTTAAAACCCCAATTCCTAGGCAGTGGAGTTGAGATGGATTTTAAAGGAATTTCTTTACAGACTATGTCCGGTATTGGCATTTAGTATTGCTTGTATTGAATTTCCTGGTTCTGTTGTCAAGTAGTTTGTCAGTTACTCTGTCAGTGCATCACATGCGTTTAACAAGGCAGTCGTCTGAAAGCTTTCATTATCATTAGCTACAAAAGAGACAAGAGGCTGTCTCTCACACATGAGAGTGGGAGATACGCACGGGAGGGCCAACACAAGGGACAACAGTTATCGTTTTAGTCAGTGCACCTCAAGGATGGGAGATAATGGTACATCTTACAATAATTACAGGATGGTGCAGAACGAGAACGCAAAAGTCGGCTGTTTGCCAGGGATCGGAATCCCTCAGCAGGCAAGACCAAGAAGCAAGCTGAAAAGACCTTGAGTGCTGAGCAGAAGCCTCCCACAGTGAATCCAAACCCAGCAGGAGGGGGAGACACTTGTTTCAATGAGGTTAGTGGTCATTTGCTTGTGTGAGAGTAGTGTGAGGCTAAGTTTACAAGGCACATATTTTTTAAACTAAAGGACTTACATGTACTGTGGGTATGTCAGGGTTTTGTGTAAATACTGCTAATAGCACTGCTGCTTATTGTCTATGTGAGTGAGCTGACCGTGGCCACTCAACAGAAATGCAAGAAATATATTACCACCTCAAGGAGGTTTATGGAAAAGGTGTCAGAAGTAGGTGGAATGTAACGAAATGGTGCACAGAATTTTGAGGTGTAGGAGTCATTTGGAAGATTTTGAAAGAAGTGCTGACAACAGTGCACTCATGGAAAATGTAATCTGCAGCAGTAGATTTATTATGGTGAATGAAATGCAACATAACTTCAATCTGTTGCATTGGGACACTTATTCAGCACTTAAGGTTTAACAATGTATGTGCATGTGTGTTAAGCACCAATGGGAGGCATCAAGAAATGGTGACTGGCTTGTGCTCTGTCATTTTTCCAGTGATATTGCGCCAGTGATAAATTTCTTGAGAACATTTGTCAGAGGATCTGTTCATCACCATACCCCAGACACAAAATGCACCATCATGGAATGGAAAGACCACAGTTCTTCACAGTAAAAGAAATTCAAGATTCTGAGGTCTTCTGTCAATGACAGATACAATGTTTTGGGAGCACAAAGGGATTTTGCTCATACACACAATAGAGCAAAATAACAATCAGTGCAGTGATTTATGTGACATTATGCATGACCATTAAACAAACTCTTCTCTAGAAAGGTGTTCTTCTGCACGCCAATACATGGCCACACTCTGCCATGGCAACCCAGCAACTTTGACAGTGCTTCCAGTGGGAGTAACTGGAACATCATGCATATGGCTCTGATCTTGCATCTGGCAGCATCTTCTCCAGTGCTGAAGGAACATTTTGGAAGCCATAGTTTTCAAACTGACGGTGATCTGGGAATGCCAGTGAAACGTTGGCTGAGTGGGTCTCACTTCTTGCAGAGATTGTATCGAGAGGCAGTGGTGTGATAGTAGAGCCCCCCAGCAGCATTCGTCATATCAAGGACTGTGATATGTGCCTTGTAATCTTGCATGCTGTCATATGTTATATTCTACAGTGTTCTCACAGTGGTGTACAACACTTGAATTACTGGATTTTTTGACCTTGTCAATCATCCAGTATTCTAAAAATGTGGGTAACATAGTATTTTGAAAACTGATCTGTTTCCATCGTCAGGTGAGGGGACACCTACACTGTTGGGTCCATTAGAAAGAGCTAAGTGAAGAGTCCAGTGATTGATGTTAGCTCTTTCTAAGGGACCTAACAGAGTAGGTGTCTCTCCCACTTGCATGAGGATGGAAACAGGTTCAGTTTCTGAAACATGTTCTCTAGATTTTTAGAATACCGGACGATGGACAAAGTCCAAAAATACAGTAATTCCAAGTGTTATATGTTGGTTTATTTAATTGTGCTTTCTGAAGTGAAACTAATGCAGGGAAGGATGATGCTTCTTTGACCAAATTGTTCCTCCATGCTAAGAGAGAGATGTTAATATGGCCATTGGTTTCGTTGTTATATGGTGAGATATGTTGACAGTAAAACCTGCCCATATCAGAAAGTTTCCCTGTGCCCACTTATGTAGAATGAAACAATATGTCTGATGTGTGTAAGCTGTTCAGCTGTTCACTGCTCATGTGACATCCTGTATAAGGGAGAAACATAACTCTGGCATCATTCCAGTGTTGTTTTCTAGATGCCTCGGAAGCAACTCACAGAGCAGCTGTCGAGAGTGCTGCCTACTGACGATGCTTCAATCCCAGATCACATCACACTGGTAAATGTGGGTGACCCGCAGGGCTCATTATTGGCAACAAGGTTGCAGGAGCGACAACAGAAGGTCATCAGTACTCTTGGTCCAGCAGACATTAGAGCAGCTGTCACTTGTCTAGTCAGCAAGATCCAAAAATTGTGAGTAGCATCATCCCTTGTACCTTCCAGACAGATCAGATGTTGTACTCTATAACTGCATGTGTCCATCACTACTGCTTAAGCCCAGTGTACATAAAAAGGTAGATTTGAATTTTTTTCTGGCAGTACTGTGAGATGTTTAGACAGCATAACAATGAAGCAAACTTATGCATTGTGTGCCAGCCTCATGTTGCTTTTCCCTCTGCTAGTGTGCTCTGCCTGTGTGGGATCCTGTTGCATCCTGTTTGTGTCAATATGACAAAGTTCCAAGGTACATGTGCATGGTACAAGCAGTCACACTGAGGTAAGAGACCTGTCTTACTGAAAAATTAAGGGGCTGTAGCCACCTGTTTTTTGTGACTAATCCTACTAAACCATGAATTTACTGCTCAACAAAATTAAATTGATTCAAACCACAAAATTAAACAAATATAATCATACTGAATTTCTGACCCTTGGGCGTTACGTCCAGTTTTCCATACTGCAGGAGCAACCTAGTTTAATTTACTTGCTGATATTTAACCTTTAACATACGGACTTTTAAATTGCCGGCAGCTCCCTACGGCCAGAATTTAAATGGCCCTAAATCTTTAACATTGCAGACTTTCAGAAAAAAATGCATATTTTCCGTTCTATGCAACTTCGGAATATGAACTAAAAAGAACCTGAAAGACAATAAAATTTTCTACATATAGACAAAAGGGCAAGTTTTACAAATGAAAATGAACTGTGATTATTTTGTCATGAATTGCAAAATATAATCGTTATTAAATACGTTATGAAATTCTAAAGTACTTACCCGTTATTTTTCTTCAACCTTGAATCGTGGTGGTGATGTAAATATGATGACACTATATACAATAATATTTGGGCCGGACTGTACACGGTTTGGACTGCGTCACTTCACAGCTTACACTCTGACGCGCGTGTGCCATTTCTCGAAGCAGTCCACCACACACAGCGCGACATCACACTTTTTACAGCAGAAAAGCGTGCTTCTGCTTTTCTTGTTTATAGAACAAACCCGACACCGTCTTTGTTTCCCCTTAGCTGGCCAGTGTTTTGAATGTTTCACCTCCAGTCGACTCAG